CACCCTCCCTCCCTTCATCCATCCATTTTCTCCATATATTTAAACAAGCTTGTTGAAGCCACCCTTTTCCCACCTTAATTCAAACCTTGCCTATCCCTTTTTTCAGTTTTGAGTCAGTCTATCTCTCTCTGTCTCTCATTCACACATCCATCCACCCACCCTGCCTCCATCCATCCATTTTCTCCATATATTTAAACAAGCTAGATGAAGACACCCCTTTTCCCACCTTAATTCAAGCCTCACCTGTTCCTTTTTTCATAGTTTTGAGTCAGTCTCTCTCACTCACACACACACACATCCACTCACCCACCCTCCATCCATCCATCCATCTTCTCCATGTTGAGAGTTGTGTGGTACTTGTGTGAATTCCCAAAAATGCACAGCAAGAAGTGCCAGCCAGTTAGGCAGAATTAACTGGAAGTTCCCGCTTTTTGGTAATCTCCCCTTACCAAACACTAGCACATAACAAAATACTCAGGAGGTCTTTTTATCATTAAATAAAGAATTCTATTTTACTCACATGAGGTTCATTCTTAAAGGATTCAGTTTGTTACATAATTTATTTGAATCCCACCACTGCACGGAACGCCGTTACCTTCCCACCGAGGTGGTCCCTATTTATCTACTTGCATTTGCATGCTTTCAAACTGCTAGGTTCGCAGGAGCTGGGACAAGCGACGCTCCGTCGCGTGGATTTGATCTTACATTTGCTGGTCTTCTGACCCTGCAGTACAGAGGCTTCTGTGGTTATCATAACCCCCCTCCCCGTGGTGATGATATCTTATTTATTTATTTAAGACACTTAAATGCAATGACCCCTGAAAACAAAATTCAATTCCAAAAAAATGAAATGCTCCCCAAAAGTAACATTTAATGATTTAGTTGCAAGTGAATTTTAAGACGCAAAAAGAAATATAAAAAGGGCATAAAAACAAACTGCAATGGAGGAACTAAAAATTTCAAGATGTAAACTCTGAAACTAAATTAAGATTGGAGGAAAATATATATTCATGCACATTGTAAAAAGACTGCAGCCATCTTCACAGGTTTGGCTTGCTCCAGTGCCCCCCTACCGCCCCCTTCTGCTCCAGCGCTCTCACACTGCCCCTTTTCGTTCTACTGCCCCCCTGAAAAATGAAATCACCCCCTGGGGGGCATTATCGCCCACATTAAGAACCACTGGTTTAACCCACAGTGCCACCACATCCCTAAATTATAATGAACCCAAAATTTTGGTTTTCTCAAAGTCATGGAAGCAATTTCAATAGAATTTGAATGGGCACAAAAGAGAACATTTAAAAGAGGATAAATATCTAGCCATCCTATTCCATTACAAACATTCCTGGTCTCCCTATCGCAAAATGGTTATAAATATAGCTAGGTTCACTGGTCAATCAATACTTCGTTTCTATTATAATTCTGGCAATTGTTATGTTCCGGGGACTTAACAGGTTTTTAAACCCAAAATTATCCCACAAATTTAGTATGGCATCCCAATCTGGTTAAATGCCATGGATAGGTCAATTGAACGGATGAAATCTCAATCCTTACGTAAAGTGCTAGGGCTAACAAATTGTGTCTCCTGCTCGGTGCTTTGTCTAGAGACTGGATTTTCCTCTTTGGAAATGATGGCTTGGCTGAGAGCATTTCAATTCTGGCTAAAGCTTTTTTAAACCTCTGACCCAGTTAGTTTATTATATCAACTATTTCTGGACTCTAAACCTCCCTTTGGGACGACTGCCCTTTTAAACAAACTGAAATGGATCAGCTTAGATAGTGACTCCTTGGGCTCACTAAATCAAGGGCAAGCCTTCCAAATGATCAAAAGAAGAATTTTGGACATTGAATTCTAGGAAATATGGAACAGAGTTAACTTATATTCCGGCTACTCTACCAAAGGTCTCCGGATGGCTTACAAAAATTAAAATACAATAAAAAAGATAAAACACTTTGCTCCAACACTTTGCCCAATAAGGTAGGTTCGCCAGTGGTCGGTAGCTATCCAGAAGCTATCCATGGTCGATGGTGTCGAAAGCCGCTGAGAAGTCCAGGAATATCAACAGGGTCACACTCCCCCTGTATCTCTCCCGGCAAAGGTCATCGTACAGGGCAACCAAGGCAGTCTTCGTACCAAAACCTGGCCTGAAACCTGATTGAAATGGATCCAGAAAATCCGTTTCATCCAGCAGCGCCTGGAGTTGCCCAGCCACAACCCGCTTCAACACTTTGCCCAAATAAGGGAGGTTTGCCACTGGTCGGTAGTTGACCACCAGCCTTGGGTCCAGGTTAGGTTTTTAAAGGAGTGGATGAATTACCGCCTCTTTCAAGGAGGTAGGGACCACTCCCTCTCTGAAAGAGGCATTCACGGCCTCCTGGACCCAAGTGTGAACGCCCTCTGGCAGATCTTCCAATTAGTCAAGATGGGCAAGGATCAAGCGGAGTGGTGGTAGAACGGACAGATCCAAGCACCCTGTCCACATCCTCAGGTCTCAACCATTGAAACTCATTAATACTTGACCTAAGCATGGTGCACTGGACACATCCTCTGATTCTGCAGTAACTGTGGAGTCCAACCCACTGCGAATCTGAGCGATTTTTTCCTCAAAATGGATGGCAAACTCATCACAGCGAGCTGATGAGCAGTCTGGGACCTCCACCAAATTTCCCGGTTGAAGAACATCCCGGACCACCCTAAACAGCTCTGCTGGATGACATTCTGATGAAGGAATATGGCTAGAGAAATATTGCTGTTTCGCCAGCTGTATTGCCATGAAATAGGCCCGATAATGGGCTCTAAGTCGTGTTCAATCAGACTCACAGTGGGATTTCCTCCATCTGCACTCCAGCCGTCTCCCCTCTTACTTCATCGCCCGCAGTTCAGAAGTATACCAAGGAGCTGTCTGGGCTTGGTGAGCAGGGAGAGGATGCAATTGTGTCAACCGCCCGGGTCATCTCCCTATTCCATAGGGTGAGCTGAGCTTTGACAGGAGCGCCAATGATATCAGACGGATAATCCCCCAGAGCATTCAGGAATCCATCCGGATCCATTAGTCTCTGGGGCGGATCATCTTAATAGATCCCCCACCCTTGCAGAGGGGAGAAGCTAATAGACTAAACTTGATCAGGAAGTGGTCTGACCATGACAATGGGGTTACAACCAGCCCCTCCACGTCCAAACCACCACCTTCCAGTCCCGTTGAGAAAACCAGCTCCAAGGCATGGCCCTTCTCATGTGTTGGGCTGATGACATATTGAGACAGGCCCGTGGTTGTCATGGCGGCCATGAAGCCACAATGTCTCTCACCCAGTGCCTGAGGGATGGCAGATGGTGAAAAAGACTCCCCCCCCCGAAGGCAGGAATGCTGGCCTGGAAGGACCCTGGCACAGGCTTCTGGCTTATAAAGCCCCCCTTCCCCCCTCTTTATGAAGAGTTGGATTCAGGTTCATGGGATTGGTCTTGTTTAGACAGAAGAAAAACGAGGCAAATGTTTTAACAAAACCAGTTCCAGTGCAAGGGCACGAGGAATTGTCAAAGAGCCAGGATTGAGTTCAATGCACGAGTAAATTGGAGGGGGTTTGTCAGGACATTATAACACACAATCTAGAATTTACTCTTTGTACACGAACCAACCTTTGTTAAGAGGAATCCACCTTAAAACAGGTGTGCAGCCACAGAGTCAGCACACGGAGCTGATGCCTCTTATTGGACACAAAGCCAGAAGATATCAGGCAATGTGTCCAGTGATGGGGGTTGTTCAAACGATGCGAATGCTACACACTATGATGTGGTGTGGAGTGTTGTGTTGGAGGCTTGGTGCCTGAGGTGCTGTCTGTCTGCTTACAGAAAGTGCATTATGGGTCTGTGGATCGACATAAATCGTCCTATTGGACATCGTCTGTACATACACGGTGGTGACGGAAGACCTTTGTGACTGGAAGACTGACTTGACTCGGTGGGCCAATTTATTCTTGTAAATCGTTGTTATATTTTAATTGTTTGTATTCCACTTGTTGTGAGCCGCCCAGGGTAGTCAAAGACTAGATTGGCAGAATATAAGCTAAATAAATAAATAAATAAATAAATAAATAAATAAACAAACAAACAAACAAACAAACAAACAAACAAACAAACAAACAAACAAATAAATATTTTACACATATATCTGTAGATATTCTACAGTTAGAACGACTTCAGGGAGATTAGGAAAAAGGAATATCCACCAAATAAGGATAGAAATAAATAAGAGTCTGGGGTCCAGGTAAAGAGAGGAGAGGGAGATGGAAAGAGAGGCGGGACTTCCTCTGATCAGTTTAGGCGCACCTTGGATCACCCAGACCAAGAGGGAAACAAGGGCCAGGAGTAGGTGATAAAGATCATCCTGCCTGGATTGATGGGTGTGCCTACCCAGTTCGGACACCCGCTTTTGAAAAAGGGCTTTTGAATAAAGGAGAGCTGCTTTGTTTTCGTGGTTGTCTGGTTCCTGCATTTAAGTAACAAGGGTGTGAGCATTTCTCACAATTGGGGGCTCGTCCGGGACCCAAGTCTCCTGCTGCTGAGAAAACAGGGAGATGCGTCCCATCGATTTCAATGGCCTACTTTCCCTGGCGGGGACCTCGGCTGCGCAGGTGGGAGAACCCGAGACACCTGAGGCCCCGGTGAAGCAGACCAGGATAATTTGTTGGGCACAAATCTAACAACCAGGCCACTCCGTGCTTGGACCAAGGTAAGAAGAGGGGACTGTTAAGGATCGGCTTGGTGTTTGGGATCGGGACTGACGGACACGAGTGCGAGAGACGTGTCTTGGACCCAAAGGCAGTGTGGAGTCCTGATCCGCGGTTCCGTTGTCTCTGCAAGGAGGGTCCAGCCAGGAAAGAGGGGGAATGGGACAAAGGAGAAAAAGGGAAATGTTGTCCCCCTGACGCGGATGTAAAGGGGAGATAAAAGGAAGGAGACTAGAAATAAGAAGGACAGGAGCAGAGAGGGAGAGGGAGAGAGGGAGAAGTGGAGGCCAGGACGGCAGAGGTGAAGAGAGTAAGCGATTGCTAGAAGGGTGGGAAGGTTTCTGGATGGAGAAAGCATGGATGCATATCTGGGAGAGGATGATGATAGAAAGAGACGAGGCAGGAAGGGGACTGAACCATCGCCCAGCCATGAAACCTTTCTACTGGGTAAACAGGAGAGAAGAGGATGGAGGTGAAAGAGAAGGAAAGCGTGGATGCAAAGAGGAAAAGAGAAGAGAGAACGTAGAACCGAAGAACTTTCCCCCACGCGGGGTGTGCGGAAATACCTTCCCAGAGGAGACGACGGGAGGGGAGAGCGGTGGACGGAGGAGACGCTGCCCTTCTTTTATCGGATGCCAAGGAAACCATACCCTCAAGCACCAGCACTCTGCACATGTTCAAAGAAGACATGTGGTGTCATAGATGGAGTACCAGATTGGAAACCAGGAGACCTGGGTCCAAATCCCTGCTGGGACAGGGAAACGGAGAGGAGAGAGTGGGGGGGGCAAGGCTCCTTAAGCCACCCCTTGAAATCTCACTGACCTTGCAAACGTTGGGAGGGATGTGGGATATGGGTTCTTTCTTCTGGGTCCCCAAAACAGCAGAGATAAATCACCTCTGTCTCACCCTTTTCCTAAGATAAAAGAGAAAAACATGAGAATGGAGGCTTTACGGATAAAGCAAATCAAAAACATTTCCTTCCGGGATGTGCCTTCCTTGTGCTTCTATTGAACAGGACTAAATCCCCATCTCTCTCGAGACGAAAAGAAAAGCAGGCAGGCAGGCAGGCGGGCGGGCATAACTTTATTTATTTATTTATTTATTTATTTAATTTATACCCCGCCTATCTGGCCCACCGGACCACTCTAGGCG